AGATGGTGTCACGCAGTTTAATAGCAAAGACCCTGGATATCAGATGGAGTCGTTGCATCAAGCAACAAGAAGACCCTAGACATGAACATGACATAATTTCCTTAGGTTAGGTTAGAATCCTTAGGATTCTGAATCTAGATCCTCTGGGTCTACTTTATGGTTTTGAAGGTGCAATAAAAGTAGTGGACCATCAAAAGAGTTCCAAAATGTTACTTTGTGTCATTAGTTTGAGTATATCACTTTTAAAAAGGGAAACTGTTTTAAAGAGTGTTGAATCTTTGCTTGTCCACATTTGTCAAATTCAGTTCAGATCAAGTCACAACAACAGTGGGCTCAAGACGTTTCATAGAGTGAAGTATAACAGGGAGATAAACAATAGAGAGAAAACCCCAACAATTAAACGACTCTCTATGAGTGAATACTTAGCAACAGTGGGAAGAAAAAACTCCCTTTTAACAGGGTGACACCTCCGACCTAACCTGGCTCAGGGAAGAGCAGCAATTAAGCCAACAATCTTTCATGCAGGTTTCCTAGCAGACCTAAAGACTTGTTGAGACTGACACCTACGCAAAATTTAACATCATCAAAGTAGCCACAAGAAAAAACTAAACAGTCATCATATTGTTGTCCACATCTAAGGCCACTTGAACACAGAACAAGATCCTACACCCATCTGCGACGGCACTTGAGCCCCCTTTACAATCATAATTCCCAACCTTGAGGAGACAAGGCTGTTTTCCTCTCTTTCTCTACCTCACAACTCACTCCCTCGCTCTGCCAGAGCTTTTTCACTGAGGCCAGCATTTCGTTTGCCTCTTTCCTCCAAACACAAACCCAAAAGAAAGAAACAGGGGTGGGAGAGGAGAAAATGAGAGAGAGAGACGGGGGGGGGGGGGCTTGAGTTGGGGTTTTCGGAATTTGGTCTATGTTTGGATTGGAAGCGAAGGCCCCAGCGCTGGGCTCTCAGGAGGATAATGGAAAAGAGGGAGAGAAGAAAGGGAGGTTTATGGCTGTGTGTGTACCCTCACAGGTGGTCGGCACATACTGACGGGTCCGGGGGGGGCTTTTGTGTGTCAAAATGTGTGTGTGTGTGTTCACGTGGGGCTGCCGAATTGTGTCCGCCTGTTGGCAAAAGTAACGCCATGTGTGCTCAAAGCATGTATGCTCAAAGATACATGTGTGCATCTTTGCAGATGTTGGCACAAACGCATGTGCGCTTTAGCTTGTAAGAATCAGAGGAGAGAGACGTAGAGAGGAGGTGAATAAGACATTCCTTAGATGCAGAGGAGTGGAGGGGGGGGGATGCAGGGAGCCAGTGGTTAGTTAGTGGTTTGAAACTAAGAGGAGAAAAATGAACGTCTCGTCCAGGGCTAGGCCTGAAAATGCTACCGCAAACCAACCAACAAGCCAAGTGGGAGAGGAAAGGAGACCGGAGCAGAGAAGAGGAGAAGGGGGGAAAAGCGAAGGATATGAAGAGAACCAGTGAGGCCTCCTCTTCCTCCTCTTCCCATATGAGGCCTGGTAACTCCTGCCTGTGCCGCAGGGGAGAAAGAAGGGGAGTGGTGCTTTTATAGCTGGACTGAACCGACTGAACCCATCATGTACAAACAGCAGGGAAAGTATGGAGACAACAGAGGCCTGAGGCCAGCAACCACACAGGGGGCTTCAGATGGTTTCAGGTTGAGGACCACAGGAGGGCTGGAGGTCCGAGGAAGAGAGGGATGGAGGAGTAAGAGAGAACCCCTCCAAATCTCCCTCGAGTCCCTTTTCAGTGATACATCAACAGTTTTGGTTGTTCTTTCTTTTACCTGTTGCTTCTTTTATTCACCTTTGTCCTTCTTTTCTTTCTTTGACTATTTTTCCATCTCTTTTCCTTGTTTTCTTTCTTATTTCCTCCACCCTCATTTTCATTCTTTGGTTATTCCTGCCGCATGTCTGCTCCATTTTCTGGATTTCATTCCTGTTTGCCTTTATTTTTGTTCCCTTCATTTTGTAACATTTCTTTCACCTTTCTTTTTTATCCCGTCTTTCTTGCCTTGGATTGCTTCCTTTCCCAAACTGTTTTTTTCTCTTGGCTCATCACTGGACTACTCCACTTATTAAATAACTCATTCAGTCAGTCTCTTTTTTTTTTTTGCTAAATTGCTTTCTTCCTTCATTCCTTTTGTCTTTTTTTTTGCTGCACTTTTTTTATTCCACACTCCCTTTCTTATTTTTTAGTCCTTTTCTTTTCTTCTAACTACCGTCCTATCACATCTGTTCCCATTGTTTTCCGTTCTCTTTCCATCGTCTTTTGTTTTCCCTGCCATCCTTTCATTCTTGCGTTGATTTCCTCCTTTGTTAGTCCACATCAGATTATTTATTTTTCACTTTATTCACTTCTTCCATTTCATCTTCTGCCATCCTTTTCCTCCCCGTGGCTCTGTTTGCCCTGAAACTTTCATTTTTGCCCATACAGTTTAGTCATTTTGTGTATTTACTTATAACTGATTAGTGTTGTGAACTGTGATCCTTTGTTTCTTTTTTTCACTAACTTTGTTTCTACTTTTTTTGTACTTTCTGGTCTTTCTTCCTTATTTTATCATTCTTTCCTAACTCTTATCTCCCTATTCTATTTGTTTCTTTCTTTCTCCCTCTTTTAACAATTTACTTAAAACTTGTACACACAATCCTGCAGGTTACCATATGCATGAGCAGTGTTCCCACCCTGTAGCAGACTGAGTGGGTGGAAGGGGCCTGTAAGACAGATGCACCCAACAACAACAGGAAAGGAGTTTTCTTGGCTCAGAGTCTTTTCTAAAACCCATCCATGTGCGTCTGCCCAACCTTTGGAGAGCAGCATGATGCAACAAGCCTGCAACACACGCTGTACTGCATGACATGAAAACCACAAAATCAGCAAAAACTTTCGCCCCGACCACCATGTAACATCAGTAAGGGATTTTTGTTGGTCTTATGCACCAGTGGCCACTCCCCAAACCCTAAACCAGGATTTCAGACCCTGGAGAATTGAAGTCTAAGTGCAAGAATGAAGTTGGGAAGTTTTTTTCTGATACAAACTTGTGCAGCATAGCACAGAGGAGCTATGCTTGGTGTGAGGAGAGTGGACATTTTGTGTGTGCTTTGTGTCCACCTTGCCACACTTATGGGTGTGTAGAGTTGGTGTATATGGGAGTATTTGTGTCCCTAAATATAGCAGCGTAGCGGTTTTAAATTTAAGCATTTCAGTCTAGCACAAGTTGGTAGTTTGTGGACAGAAATGGTCTTACGGTATGCAATTATATACAAACACAATTGTGGATCACCGCAAAAAAACGACAATAACGCCACTGTTACAATGCATGAAGCTAAAAATATGTCCCTTGTCAATGCATTTTCTCAGAGTGAAGGCTTTCTGCTAATTTGGTTCAACTGTTTCCAGAGTGAAGACGCTACATTAGGAAATTCCAGCCAATGTCAGTGTTCAAGATACCAGTCTGGGCAATACCAACAGTAATACTTGGTAATCGTGTAAAGAGTCTTTGAGCTCTTAATCAAATAATCTTTCAACATTTGGTCAGACCACATCTGATAGAGGCAAGAGAGAGACACGGGAGATGAACACAGGCCACTGACACTACTAAATGCCATCTAATTTTTAGATATGCCAATAAAAAGTCAATAGGGTCAATGCCAATATTTGGCTGACATGTTGTTACAACCCCACTTCAAACTTCATGCCCCACCTTGAAAGCACTTTACCCCACCTTTTCATTTGGGCATGCTCGTATCACACAAGCACAGTGGAAACAGTAAAAACTGGTTACAGGATGATGGCAATAACTGTAACACAGGCCAAATGATGTCGATGGTACATCGATGTGCAATGCTAGTCCAGTTAACTGTCACTCAGAAAGCAAAAAGAATTGTGGTGAAGAAATTAAATGTAATTGATTTTATGGGTTTTGTTTGGGTTTTTTTTTTTTCCTTGATTGATATTGATATTGAATTTCTTGAATTGATCGAGAAGTAGTTCTAGTTAAGCTGAGAAATTCTTAGTGATCTGACAGCCAAACAACATCCACCCTAATTTTGTTGTTGTTTGTTGATAAACTGTTTGTTCATAAAATGACAATGTGAAACAATTGTTGACCACAAACCTTTTCTTGCTAGATATTCCAACAAGGACATCCAGCTGAGTGTAAGGTATATCTCCAGTCTCAGCACAACTTTTCTTTTGGAAACTATTTTTCAACCAGACATCAAGGTAAAAGGGACAGCTGATGCTTTTTTATATGTAGCAATTCTTTTACAGCTCGCTGAGCCCTAAAATTGTGATGTAACTTACCAATTTATTACCAATTCATTTGCACTCTTCAATGTAAACAAGGAAATAATGCTGTTGTTTTCCTAGCTGGGACCAATGTCCCTCACATCAATGTTTCATTTGTTTAAAATTCAACAAAACAACATTTCATCAAGTCCACAAAGTTTTGGTGACTGGTTATTTCTTTAACGTTTTTTTTCTCCAAGCAAAATACATTTCAGAAGAAAATCAGAGCTCCCAGACAAAACCCTGAGGAGCTCCTGAGATTACCAGGAGTAGGAAGATCATATGTGGCTGTAAAGATTATTGTCATTAATATTAAATTCATCATTTTTAAGAAAAAAAATCATAAAATGTCATTTCAAAAACTCAAAGTGATATCTTTGAAAAGGTCAGAAAAAACAATATATATCCAGATTACAGACAAAGAAAAACACAGATGCTAAAAATTTCTAGTATTCTTATTGATTAGATCCATTAAAACCCCGAAAGACAACAGATGTCAACCTGTATTAATACTGTAATTGTTTGTTTTTTAATACTTGAATCATTACATGGCTGGTATATTTATACATAGCTAGTTAAATTCTGTAAGTGCTGCCACACTTATGGCCGGCACATATTGTAAACCAATATTAGGGCAACGTCAAGGGACTCTTAGATTTCTAGATACACAGACACAGCTGAGATTTACCTTATAACAGCCTGTTAGTGAGGCAGATCTTCTCCCTGTAGTTTGCCTGAAGATGCTTCTTCAATGGTCGTACTGTGAGCTCAAAAATTCATCAAAATCAAGCGAGTTTGTCCGACGTGTCCTGTATCATCTTCATCAAAGTTATCGGTTTTC